TCCATGGAATTGTGATTTGGTTTTCTAATCATTGGATTTTTGCTAATCACCTACTTGATTATCACATGAGCCTTTTAAAGACCAAAACATCATATAAAGTTGTTATGGCCTTACGATATTACTAAAGATAGAGATTGGGCTTTCTAGGCCTCTACCTGGGACAAGAATAATAAGAAGAGGGACTACAAAAAAAAAAAAAAAAAGGGCCGGGCCATCTCCAACTCAATGAACAAACGTATTAAGACAAAGACTGTCGAATTCTTTTGCAATGGGCTCTGCCGAACACCGGAACTGGCTGACTTTATAAAATCCAAACTTTTTTTGAATCTGCACTTGCTGTGAAATAGTTTCATATGTGTAATTCCATTTGAGAAGAAAAAAAAAATAAAATAATAAAAATTTAATACGAAAAAACTGACTTGTTTCACTCTCTTTAAAGAGGGCGCAACAAAATTCAAATCCAATACAGCAGACCTTCTCACATGACTTGTTCCATCCAGTATACAATAATCTAACAGTTTTGTCGTGTATGATGTTAACTAATTCTGTCTAAGTGATTAAAGTTCAAAGCTCCGCCATAGAAACATCTTTCTTTGATCTAAACTCCCAAGTGTGTATAGTATGTAATAAAGTGTTGCAATGTGTTAGATGATGTTCTATTAGTACTTACAATGCCCATCTTAGAGGTCTTATTTATAGACTATTGAAACTTTCTAGAAATCATGTATATAACTTATTCATATGTACAAAATCTACATATATCTAACAAGAATGATTCATGTATGAAAAGTGATGAATACAGGTATAAGATAGTATTTATGTACATGTATGTGATAATATGATACATGTATATGTACGATACATTGTATATATAGATTCATGTATATATATTAAATATTAATACAATAAATTATATATAATATTAAAATTTACCAACATTTACCATACCAATGAAGCAGAAACATTTTATTTCAGGATAGTGGTAGTTTTAACCTCAGTTACAGAAAAAGGATATTTCATCACAAACAGACCGGCTCAGTCACACACAGACAGAAAAAATAAATGTTTCAAATGTTCACATATGACAGATATGGCTCCCTTATTCATATCACAGAGGATTTAACTAAGCTTCACCAGAATGAATGGCAACATAGAGACCTTCTTCTCCTTCCACCCCAACCTCCTCATGGCTCTTTCTACATTCATGGTAGAAGACTGTGAACACCACAAACATGGAGATTTTCGCCAGGCAAAGTGCCCAGACACCACTGATCTGGATGGCCAACCTCACCCAACCTTGTTTCTCTCTCTTCCTCATCAGGACTAGAGAAATTATAGAGACAGTGCCACTAGCAAGAAGAAAAATCAGCATCAGAACAGAACCCTTGAGGGTTTTTCCTTTCATCAGTTCTCTAGCTCTGTGAATGGCTTTTAGTCCACCCGAATCGGCTTCCACAATGGAAACCACTACACAGAACATGAAAACGGCAGCCAAATAAATATAACAGGCTACCTCGAAAATGGCCACGACACGATTCAGAAGAATCAGTGAAAACACATAAGAAATCACTGAAAATACTCCGACAAGGATTGAGAAAAGAGTTATCATGGAAAAACTTAATAAAGTCGCGTAAAAGCTAGTGATTATTGGCCTTGTCCACCTTCCTCTAATCATTAGAAACGTATCTTTCAGTGTTAGAACTTTTGCGGTGTAGGCTTCATAGGTGGAGGAAATTGTAGCAACTGAGGAAAAAACTAAAATGGAACAAGAAAAGACCAATATTACTGATTGCAGTAACAGTAAAAGGACGACATCTTTGATAATTCCTCTGTTTAAGGTTTCATCAGTCTCAATGATACCGCGTGTCATGTGATCCAGACTTGTCAACTTAGAAGATAAATCTGTAAGTATGGGTGTCAAAGCTAGGTGGCGAACAATTGTCAACAGAGAGAAAGAAATGGAAACATAGATCATGATTGAGACCAAAAGCTTCCCATTTCTAGTACCTACTCTGAGGGCTGCCCAGAGAATTCCCAGGGTGCCTAAGGAAGCTTGTGGTTCTTTGGTGATGAATTTTTCTTGAAGGACTTGTTTCTCCATTTGATTTTTTTTGGGGGGGTTGAGATGTTCATAGGAAAATGAATTTATAATGCAGTTAGTTTTGGCCAAACTTGTTTGTCAGTTTCCAATTGATCCACCCTATGTATTCATAATAAAACCGATCGAGGCTGATTATTTCTAAGCTGGATGGGACAAATAAGTTAGTGTCAGCTTTAGCTGTTAAGAGTTATATGGGTAATGATTGGAGTAATGAAAAGGAACTAAGATAAAGATGTATTTCATTTAGAGTAATGTTGTTCAATCTTAAAAATTTGATCTCATTTAGAGATATGAAAAAATGAGGATTCCGAGAGGAAACAAACAAACTGGGTTGATTACTCTTGATAGTCTTAAGATTTTGACATCAAGGAGTCAAAGATCAATTCTTTCCAAGGGTAAATTACACTATTAATCCATGAGGTTTGCCATTTGTAGAATTTTGGTCCGTAAAGTTCTAATTTAACCAATTTGGTCCCCAACCTTTACATATTTGACCAATTTCATCCCTAGTCCTAACTTTCGTCTCAATGGCCAGCAGAAAACAACATGTGAGGGTCGCGTGAGGGGGCATTATAGCCATTTTGCCTATTTTTCGCCTTTTTCACATCTCCTGTAGCCTGTGATTTGCACATAGATATGTCATTATAAGAACACACATTTTTCAATTTATGTATCACCAATCTAACCTTATTCTTCAACATTTGACAACTAATGTCAAGAAAACTTTGTATAAGTAGGGAACCATTGAAAGATTGAAGCTTTGTATAAACACTACTCATATTCTATTATGGGGCCCAAGAAACCAACGATATGATATAATGTATGGTGCAAATACATTTGACATGAGAAATTTGGATTATGACTTGGGCAGCATAATATTTTTGTAAATCTTCTGCTTTAATAAAGCTTTTGATAGACTTGCCAGTGGGCTCCCTCCATTTGTTTGCAGCAAGATGACACTTTTTTTTTGGTTCCAAGAGCACTTGTTTAAGAGCCTACACATTGGAGTCTATTCTTTTTGTTTTCACGAGGTAAGAGAGTGGCTCAGTGATAAGGTTCATTCTCGCCCCGGAGGCGACTGTGGATTCCAACCTCATTTTCTTTCCCCTCCTTATTTATTTTTTTGTTTTTACTCCTTAGAAGATACATCTACATTCTTTTCCATAGTTAGAAAAAATAAAATTGAAGGAAAAATTTTAGTTACGTTCTTTCTAATTTATCATATCTTCAAAAATATTCTTTATATTTTCTAAATCTTCACTGTCACCCCTTGTCAGATAAAATGTGTTAATTAGAATACAATTTTATTAAATTACCCATGATATGTTTTAGAAAAAACTTTATTCACACCCCCTTTAGATAGACATACCTTCAATGAGACCTTTTCTAATTTTTAATTTTTTCTAATGTTACGTGCGTACAAAATTTAGGGGGTCTGTATATAATATTTTAAATATCAAAGGTTTAAGTGATTAAATAACAAACTTTAAGAAGTCGGAGTGTAATTCTCCCAAAAAGAAATACAAAAACCACCAGTTGTACCCACGTTTTCATTGAGACTACACTATTGCACAAAAACGTCAATTAGTCTGACATTTTTAGTTAAAACGTCGTTCCAACTGACGTTTTTAAAATTAATTGGGTTTGAGAAATATTTTTAAAATAACCCTCTTTTGGGTATTTTTTTTTTAAAACCCATGTGTTGGGGTAAAAGCTCTAGAATATTCCAACCTCGTTTTCTTCTCCCCCAATTTTTTTTCCTTTTTATTCCTTACAGGATACATCTGCATACTTTTCCATGGTTATGAAAAAAGTCCCAACAATGGATTAGTTGACAGAATTGACAACAAAACATCGGGATTTCCGACCAAAGTCCCCGTCAACACTATGGTTTTATCTAGATTCAAGCCAGTGATTGTATATCCCAATTCCCATGAAAAATGAATCAATTCTGCATCGGCAGTTGTTAAGGGGCTTCTTCTTTGTTGTTTTCCTCCTGTAATCTCTATTTTTTTTACGTCTTGAACATTGTGTTCTTCAGTTCATACAACTAAGATGATACAATTGACTTATTTGTCTCATCCATCTTAGAAATTATCAACCACTGTGTTTTGTTATTAATTCCTAGAATTGATCCATTGAAAAGTGACAAACATATTTGGCCAAAATAAACACCTATATAAGTTCATTTTTTTGTATTGAGCTAAGCAATTGAGAGAATTTCAAAAGCTCGAACAGCCATGGAATTCTACGAGGTTTTCAGTTTTGTGGGAATTCTGAGGGAATCCATCACACTGCTATCTAAAAATGGGAAGCTTAAGGCCTTCGTAACCACACTCTCCCTCCTCCTTTACACACTTTTCTTCTTCTTGAACATCTTCTCCGTCAAACCCTTGATCTTTGATTTGGTTGAGGTAGTGTCTGGTGGCTCTGATTTGATCACGCTGATGGCTCATGTCAAAGATGATCTCGGAATCCTCCTAGTAGTCGAATATATTTTCATTTGTGCTACCTTAGCTCTTGCACTATATACTACAACCGCAACCATTTTCATATCAGCCACCTCTTACTGCAGCACGACCATGTCAATCAAGGATTTGGTCTTGAAGGTGGCAAGATCATGGAAAAGGCCATTCATCACTGGTTTTTACACTACCCTTCTTGGAATAGGATACATTTCAGTTTTAATGGTCACAACGCCAACAATATTGATGATTTCTGATAATCTAATCGCCTCTAAAGCAATTGTAATCATCTTTGCAATTTTGGGTGCAATTCTCTCTCTCCCATTAACCGCGATTTGTGTATTAGCCTTGGTGATTTCGGTGATGGAAGAGGACTGTTATGGAATTGAGGCACTAGGAAAAGCTGGAAAGCTTGTTAAGGGCAATAGGGTGCAGTGCTTTATTCTGAGTCTTTTATTTATGGTGGCGGCATTGATTTTGTACCAGTGTTTCAGGGTAGTGAAAAATGATGAACTGCTTGGGACTTCAACAATACTTATCGGGTTGTTTCGGATATATTCTCTATATTTGGTGAACATGTTCCAATTCATGACATATACTGTGGTATACTTCCGGTGTAAGAAGAACCATGGTGAAGAGATGGAATTGCAGTGGAGCACTGCCCCCGACTACATGATGATAAAAACTACACTACTTGATAATAAGGATACACCATGAAAAAAGGGACTAATATTTTATTTTTTCGGTTTAATAAACTATCGTACCTAATTTGACCCAAATGTAATCTCTTTCATAATGTACTAACTAGCGTCCACTCCATGTAATGCACGAGATTTACATATATATAAGAAATGGTGGAGCAAAAGTTTCTCAGCCATCACTAATAAATTATTTGCTTTCCGTTTGTATGGTAATTTCCGCTTGTAAGGTTTCTCGGCCATCTCCAATAAATTATTCACTTATTAAAATAGTTTGAATTTTTGTATTTGTTTGCTTTTTCATTTTTCCTGCAAAATGGTTGTATTCAGAACACAATAACTCACTAACATCGTCCATCTGAAATAATTATATCCAGTTTACAATGACTTACTAACATCAACCATTTGAAACAATGTTTAGATTGTAGAATGAAGTTTTGAATAGAGGTATATAAGTGCATAGAGCACATGAAAAAAAAATTAGATTTTTTTTTTTTTTTTGTTTTATAATGTTTCTTTTTCCATTTTTGAGTTTGCTCTCTTCCGATAAATTTAACTTCTATAATTGTATAATACTGAAATGTTAAGAGGTATAATGAAATTAGTACTTAAATATGTCTTTATTTTTGACAAAATTTTTTTTTACTTTACCCTAAAAAAATTGTTACTAAATGGTACATTACTTTCAAAAGGTTTGACTCTGGTGTCAAAGAAAAGGACTTATGATGGAACCAAATGACCAACTCTATGTACTGAGGCCCGAAGGATACCATTCTGCTAATCCACATGCAATTTCGATTACATTTTCTAGCAAGGATAATGTATGCCCAAAATTCTGATTTACAATTTATTTTTTTTTTTGGTTTTTCTTCTTGTACATAAAAGACAATAGGATGAACTAGCCAAAATAAATGCAAGGTAACCGTCGTGAGTTGGTATCATACTTGTTAGAAATAATAAAGGGTTACTAGTATTTTTGGTCCTTACAATATGCATATTTTGTTAGTTTAGTCTTTATTATATCAATTTTGTCAATTTGATTCATAAAACATTTAATTCGTGTCATTTTGATCTCTACTTAGATAGACCGTTAAGTTTTTGACAAAATAATTACGTATTAGCCAAATGATATTGTCTAATAAAATGATATGTGACCACTTTCGTAAAAAAATTAATGAATTTTCTAAAGAGAACATAACTACAAGGGGATAATGTGCATGCATAGTTTTAAACGTCAAATAAGTAAAATGTTTCTAACCAAAACCACAAGGAGGTAAAAAATAATTAATCTTAGTTTAAATTACTTAACGAAATTGAGATTTGGATAATTTTATGTTTACCAAATTTGTGCACCAAATCAATTGCAGCCGTAGGATCCATGATAGAACCCACTAATCCCACGGTTCCTAGTGATTTAGTGCACATAGCATTGCACTTGAGATTTTGGTAGACTTGCCACCCTCCAATTTTTCAAACAAGGTGATACATTTTTTTTTGGGTTCATCATTAATGGATTTGTCAATAGAGTCGACAAAAACATTGGAACTTCCGACCCTAAGTTCCCCATCAACACTGCATTTTTGTCTAGATTCAATGCTGTGTTGTAGATCCCATAAAACATGAATCAATTCTGCATCATCAATTGCTAACCGGCTTCTTCTTTGTTTTTTTCTCTCTAGGGGTCATGTACATACTGTTCCCATGTACAGATAGGAAGAATGAGAAAAATATGAAGTGGAAAATGAGAATAGAGATAAATGTAAGTAGTTAAATGTGATTAGAGAAAAAATTCTAGGTGATTAAATGATAAAAACACATAAAATATTAATTTACCAATACATTTGTAATTAACTCTTTATAACTACCAATAAAGGGAGAAAACATTACACTGTTGATCTCCTATTATTAATAGTATAGATAATCTTCGTTTTTTATGTCCCAAACAAGCAATTAAGCTACTATGTGCTCCAACTCTTAAACAGCTAGCTGATAGAACTTATGTCTTATACAGCTTAGAAATTATCGACCTGTGTTTGACTGTTACTACCTAAGATTGATCAATTGAAAAGTGACAAACATACTTGGCCAAAACTAACTGCTATATAAGTCAGGGTTCTAAAAATCGGTCATTACGATGCGTAACGGTTGTTGCATAACAGTAATGCTGAATTCTAATTCTATTACACCTCAGTATAGTGGATAGAATAAATTTTACAAGTGTCAAACAGAGTAAAAATTTGTAGGTTGTGGGGCCCTTTTTGCACAAATTTTATAGCTAATATGTTTTATTGGCATTGCAAAATATTTTTATTTTATCCCAATGATTTAAATCTAACAGTTATTTTGACTACTTCATTTTTTGAATACAATTTTCAAATAAACAGATATTAATTGCTTAGACTAATTTTCTTTCATTTGCCAAAAATTTGGATTAATTAAGTAATTTAGCATACCAAAATCATGAATATAATAAAAAATTATTATAAATTACAGAACAATTGAATTTTTTTATTTTGGTCTAAATATATAAAAAATTTTGATTTTTGCAGATAGTCGTGAATGTACTTCCAAATTTCATGACTCTGATTTTTGTTACTGCTACGTAATGCCCGGTACACTATTATCAATACCATTACATAATCTGTTACCGTTATTGAGAATCATGATATAAGCTAATGTTGTCATGAACACATCAAACCAAAAAACAAATCAAATGGAGAAATTAACCACCAAAAAAGCACAGGCTTCCTTGGGCACCCTGGGAATTCTCTGGGCAGCCCTCAGAACCAGTGCTAGAAATGGGAAGCTTTTGGTCTCAATCATGGTCTATGTTTCCATTTCTTTCTCTGTATTGGCATTTTTTGGCCATCTTGCATTGACACCCATAGTTACAGATTTATCTTCTAAGTTGGCAATTCTGGAGACGAACCGTAGTATCGATGACGCTGATAAAAACCTTAAAAAGAGGAATTATTGAACATGCCCACCTTTTCCTGTTGTTGGAATCACTCATATTGGTCTTCTCTTGTACCATTTTAGTGATTTCCTCGGTTGCTACAATTTCCTCATCTTATGAAGCCTACACTGCAAAAGTTCTAACACTTGAAGACATGTTTCTAAAGATTGGAAGAAGATGGACAAGGCCAGTAATCACTAGCTTTTACGCAACTTTAATCAGTTTGTCGATCATAATTCTTTTCTTGATCTTTATTGGGGTATTTTCAGCAATCACGAATGGTTTTTTATTGATTCTTCTTAATATTGTGGTGGCAATTTTAGGGGCAGTTTGTGATGTTTATGTGGCTGCTGTTTTTTTATTGAGTGTAGTGGTTTCGATTGTGGAGAACGATTCGGGTGGCCTAAAAGCCATTGACAGAGCTACAGAGATCATGAAAGGGAAAAAGCTTCAGGGTTGTGTACTGATGCTTCTTTTTGTTTTTGCTAGTGGCACAGTCTATGTAATTTCTTTGGTCCAGATGGGAAAGAGACAAAGTAGATTGGATGAGGCTGGCCATCAGGGTCACCAGGATTTGGGCGCTTTGCCTGGCGAAAATCTCCATGTTTGTGGTGTTCACAGTCTTCTACCATGAATGCAGAAAGAGCCATGAGAAGGTAGGGGATGAAGGAGAACAAGGTCTCTATGTTGCCATTCATTCAGGTGAAGCTTAGTTAAGTCCTATGTGATATGAATAAGGGTAGCCATATGATATCACCCATTTGTGAGAATTTGTAACATTGGTTTCTTCTCCTGTATGTGTATGAATCAGCCTGTCTGTTAGTTAGGAAAAATCTTTTTTCTATACTTGCTGCATTCTTGTTAAACTGCAGTTAGATTCGAATCGGAGTTTGATCGATTCTAATTTGAACTTGATATGAAAACTTGAATCTGAATCTCATTCATGAATCCACTATGAATTGAAGGTCTGATTCGAAATACTGGTTTAATTGGAATAAATCAACTAAAATTTAGCAAATTACATATATATGTATCAATTTCAACTTAATTTCGTCAATTATCATTGAATTTTTGCACATGTATAATTTGGATCGGGTCACAATAGAATTGAATATTAAATATCTAAAGCCAAAACTAAATACATGAAATATGATATAATATAATTGGATTTTGTTAATCAGTCAAAAATAACAATCCATACACTCCATAAATTGAATCGGAATGTGATGCCCCTTTGGCCTATTCCTAAACTTGTTTAGCAAAAATGATGAGTAAATTCTTGCCGATTTGAAACCATTCTCAGTTTGCAGGCTCACCAGTTTTACATTTTATCGTTATGTTTTTCAATAAATTTTATATGCTGCTTAATGCTTTTTAACTAATTTTTTAAATAAATGTGTATTGGTGATAGGCTAACTAATAAAAGGTGGATCTCATACACATTAATAGTAGATAAGTAAAAGTATAATGGAGAAGATCTAGATTTGTGCCTACAGACTGTTCATGATTTAAATCTTTGGTTATAATTAAGTCATAAAGGCTAGACTCAGTCTAAGCTAATTAACAAAGGTACATGCCATGTTTAACCCTTGCCTCTCGTCTATTTATTCACACATTTTGAGGAGAAACTCATATCTACTTCAGTGTTTCTGGTCATTCTTTGCAAGTGAAGTTTGGAATTCTAAAAGAAATTAATGTGGTCAAGAAGAATTGTAACCCAGGCCTTCAATAGTCAACCTAGAGTAGGTGAGTTGGTTCCATCATAGCCAACCCCCCCCCCCCCCCCCCCCAACCAACCAAAAGGTTGTCCGATCCATACACTTGCCTTTAGTCTGTACAATTTTAAAATTGTTTCATGTAACAAATGTTAGTATTTCATTGAGCAATGGTTGTACCAAGTGGGAGAAAAACATGTAAGAGTTAAAACACACAACAAACACACTCAGAATGAAACAGGTGAAGAAAGTGCAACACAAATGGATAACAAAATATGTGGTTACATCTATCCAACATGTTCACATACTATCGTAGTGTAAAAGAAAATTAAAAACGCAAACAGTGCAGTATATAAGACACCCGCCATCCGAAAAGTTGAAGAGAGTCCGAGCAATCTTATCCCACTTACGAAGACATCATTCTTTGTTCTTCAGGGCGTATCATTATCAAGTGGTACAGCAGATATCTTACTGTACTCAGTGCTCCACTGCATTTCAATCTCTTCACCATGGCTCTTCTTACAGTGGAAGTATAGCACAGTGAATGCTATGAACTCTAACATGTACACCAGATGAAGGGAATGCATTCGAAACAACCCGACCAGTATCATTTGGGTTGAGAGTAGTTGCTCATTTTTCCCCATACTTAAACACAGATATAAAATCCATGAAAACGCCAGAAAGAGAAAATTCAGAATAAAACACTGCACCCTCTGGCCGTTAACAAGCTTTCCAGCTTTTCCTAGTGCCTCAATCCCATAACAGTTCTCTTCGATCACCGAAATTACTAAGGCTAATATGATAATCGTGGTTAAGGGGAGAGAGAGAATTGAACCCAAAATTCCAAAGACGATTACAATTGCTTTAGAGGCGATAGGATTATTAGAAAACATCGATATCATAAACATTGTGCACATAAAAACTGAAAGGTATCCCATTCCAAGAAGGATAGTGTATAATCCAGTAATAAATGGCCTTGTCCATGATTTTGACACCTTCAAGACCAAGTCCTTGATTGATAAGGTCTTGTTGCAGTAAGATAAGGCTGAGATGAAAATGACTGCGGTTGTTGCGAATAATGAGAGAACTAAGGAAGCAAAAAGGAAAATAGATTCGACTACGAGGAGGATTCCGAGATCCTCTTTGATATGGGCCATCATTGTGACCGGATTCGCGCCACCGCCACGGGTGGATATCTCAACCAAATCAAAGATCAAGGGTTTGATAGAGGAGATGTTCAAGAAGAAGAAAAGCGTGTAGAGGAGGAGAGCGAGTGTGGTTATGAAGACCATGAGCTTCCCATTTTTAGGTAGGAGTTTGATGGATTCCCTCAGAATTCCTACAAAACTGAAAATTTCATAAAATTCCATGGCTGATCTTTCAAGGTTTAGAGCTTTTGAGAACCTCTCAATTGCTTTGCTCATGGAAAACATCAAGTATATATATATTAGTTCTACCAGGCATCTTAATTTGAATCAGTCAATTCCCACTTTCACACTAGGAAGCTAAGTTCTAAGAAACCAGAAAGTTTTAAATTAATGCACTTGTATATTTTGGCTGGTTTCAATGACTTTTTCTTCTCAATCGAATTAAAGAAAGCCAAAATTGTAGATTATCTCTATGTGATTTGATCTCCTTATACTTTAAAAATGTACATATAAAAATGTGCACAGAGCCTCGTCTATTTTTGAACTAAAATATAACAACTGACGAAGTTAACAATTTCATATCAAATCATGTATTATCTTTCATATTTTTTCTAATTTGTAGTCTTCTTATTTTAAAAAATTTTATACAAATTAAATCTATTTAGTGCACAGAAAAGTCAGAGAGAGAGTGAGAGAGATTGGTTTATTTTATGGAGATGATAGACAATAAATATAATGGTATGTGTTTTAGTGTTAGGACCGACCGCTAGCAACGTCTACACTTACGTCTTAACATATTCTTTTAACCACTTATTCTTTATCCTTATCTTTCTCTCTCCTCTTAATCGTAAAATAATCTGGAAAGGCGAAGTGACAAAATAGGTAAATTAAAATTTTTGTAAGGCAACCCATATGAGGTTTCCTGGAAACTAGATTATTGCTTGATTTTTCTTTCACTTGGTCGTATTTGACAAAGTCCATACACCAACATATAGCAGGCGAAAAATACCAGGTACCTACCTACTGACCTAAGCAATATTTAGGGGGTTGCTCCATAAACTATTAGACATGGAGTATGTTGTCACAGCGATCATTATTTTTTTCGGTAAGTAAAATAGTTTCATGGATCAAATCATGACAGAGAAAGCTTAAAGTTTAAAACAAATAAAATTTTCACCGTCCGAGAGATTAGGTACACAAAATAGACAGAGTCTAAGAAACTAGAAAAACGTCCCTTTAGGAGATGGGCCTACCAAGGTAAGCAAACTTGATCAAAGACTCTTCCTCTTCGATCTATTTCAGTATGATGTAGGACCTTTTGGTTATACCATTAATTATCAGTTTTGCTTTTCAAGAGCCGTGGCTAATCTCAACTTGATATATAACAATGTGAATAGGTAAATCATGCATATCTTCCATATATGGTTGCTTTGTTAATGTTGTAAACAAATTAAGATTCTCGACCTAAAACGAGACTGCAATCCAATCCTCTTATTAGGCAACGTATTTGATTCAGATTTTAGGGTTGACCACAAGTATTGAACGGGTAAATTTGGTGCCTAGGGTGATGTTAGAGATGATGTGCGTACGAATTTAGGAATTTTTTTATGAAAGCTAATCCACCATGCTTCAAACTTTCAATGGCTACCTTCATGTATAAAATTTAATTGATAGGTTGAGCAAATCTTTCATTTATATACAAATTATAGAGTAGAAGAAAGTGATGATGATGGTGTCTAAAATTGAAGGGTCACTACGCAAAAAATGATTTTACTGAGGTAAATTTCACCAGTAAAACGTAATTCATAAATACATAAAAGTTGACATTAAATAAAAAAATAATACTTTTGTTGGTGATGAATTAAATGGAATGTTGTAAACATAGCATGTGGTGGATGATCACACCACACCCACCACCATTAATACCCATGTCATCTAACCTCCCACATATACCAAATGTCATTGTATTTTTCCCTATACAAGGGATTCAGATACTTAAAAAAAAAAAGGGATTCAGATATGAATCGAAGGGTGTGTAGAAAAATTGAAAGAAAGAGAATCTTGGAGCATTCTCTAAAATTTCTCTCATTTAGTTTTATGTTAATAATTATTTTATATTCAATTAATTTAGTAATTTTACAACATAAAGTGCTATAATCAACAAAACAATTTCCTCCCCCTAGGCCGTGAGCTTTGTAGCAGTCAATTTCAAGTCGATTTGCTGGAACTTGGAAGCCTTTATTGAGAATTAGATTTGGGCGTAGAAGCCCATTATCTATAGTTGCTTGTGTCAACTCTAATCAGTCATATTCGTATTGAACCAAGACTGGCCTTTGCATTGTTCCTATATTTTTTTTTTTGTTCCAATCCGTAGATAAAAAAAATCACTACAAAGGATAAATGTTTGAATCCTATGACTTAAAAAGATCACTACAAAGCCACGGGCACGAAAAAATTCATAAAAAAATACAAGCTTATTTAAGGGCCTGATTCGACCTTGAATTCCCACCAAATAATGGGCCAACTTGAAGTTGGACTTAGGGCCAAGCCCATGACCTGCCCCATATCTAATCAATCGAACGGCCCTTATCAAGCGATAAACACAAGAAATAAATAAAAGAAAAAGTTGATCATGGCAAGGTATTCCAGTCACATGCTGCAATTTTAATAAAGATGATTCAGACAATTTAGATAAGTCGATCAAAATATCTCCATGCCAACCAAAAATCAAGTAATGCTTGTGGTTCATATAAAACATATATTATTTTTAGCATATTTCACACAACTTCGTCAATTCGTATCGATATCATCAACAAAGATCATAATTAGGGTTAAAAACTGTTTAAGTGACCTACCTAATGGGGTCTGACCCAATTAGTCATTTTTCATTTTCTATGACATGTGAGACAATGAATTGTTATCCGAGTTAAAAATCAATTTTATCTCTTTTTTTTTTTTGTATTATATCAAATTAATTTGCAGTCATATGTATTTAAATTCAATGATTGAAAAAATAAAAAGTAAAATAAATTTATTAAATAAACAACACACATGTTATTTTATTAGACAAAAAATGAAAGTGTAGGAATCAATCTGCCATAACCAATTTCAGCCATATAATTTTATTTTTTTGGTTCAACGATCAGAGCGTTTGGACTAATTTATGTGCATTTTGATTAATTTTTTCTTTAGTTTAATCGAAGGCCAGACGAGATTAAAATATTCATAATAAATAAATCTTTCATAACTTAATTTTAAAAAAATATCAAAATTTTAACTTGCTTGATATACAGATATAATGTTACGAAGGAGGTGGTGAATATCTACAAGGCTAAAGTGAGATCAGTAAAGCTGCATGCTCTGCAACATAGCCGTCCATGTGTCAAAAAAGCACAAAAAAAAAGGTCATTTCCGAATCTTATATTTCAGTCCAAGTTCCACAAATGAACGACAATTTGTACTAAAAAGAACAATTGGGTGTGACGACACGTACAAAGCTTTCGATTTTGTACTCAAAAGAATACAACAATTTCTGCCTTTTCTTTCTTTCTTTCTTTCCTTCTTATTTTTTCATCTTCAATGCCTTTTTCTCTGGGAGTTCCCTTTTAACTCATTCTTTCGGCTTCTTTAGGACCATAAGCACTCAAGGGTAACACTACTGTGTCGAAAAATATTTTTTTTAAAATACTCTCCTATTATATAACAAATAAAAATGCGATATGCATACATATAAATTAATAAATAATTACAAATCTTTTAATTTAAAATTAATGATTGAGATTGATGGTGACACATACATATAAATTAAGTATTTTAAGAACTAAATAAATATAATTAAAAATTAAATAAATATTAAACGCAGACTAAAAATATATTTTATCCGAGCTAAACTGCACTATCAGTTTCGTCTTTTATTGCTTTCCTTCTCCTACACTCCCAATAGAAAACCGTTGTAATAACATAGCTCCAAAGCACCACCAACCCATACAAACATTCCCAACCCACATTGTCCCACAACCATCTCACCAGCGCCGTTGATACTCCCTTCGACAAATCCCAGCTATCCATCTTCCTCACCACCTTCCAACTAATCAAATTCGAAACCAAAACAAACAAACCGGATAATGCCCACCCACTTAACCTCCTCCCCTCCATCAAACTCCACCCGACCCTTATAGCATCAAACCCGAATTGCTCTTCAGTAATCGAAACCGCCAATGCCAGACTGGTAACTGCCATCGTGTACACTTCGACGCCCGACCCGATAATTATAACGATGAGCTTGAGAATCGGGTTGCTAATCTGAGCCGCTAACGTGCCCGGAACTTCAGCACACGTTAGGGTGACAACGTAAATGCATAGGGTGGTGACCAGTGGCCTTTTCCAGGTGATTTTCACGGCTGTTACCGCCGTTTGCAAAGTGGGTGTTTTGCCAGGGCAAGAGTGGTATGTGGAGATAACGACGGTTATGGCGGTGAGGAGAGAGAAAGCGTAGCATGGGAAGAAGAAAAGAGCCTTGAGACGGAGGAGAGAGAGAGCTTCGGCACGTGACTCCTTCCAGACGTGGCGTGCCTCGAAACGGGTCGGTGTCAATAGGGCCAAGGCCTCGAGGTGGTGGACGCGGGACTTAGTGGGGTGGGAGAGGAAAGAGAGACAGAAGAGGAGGAGAGAGAGAGGGAAGGTGGCAAGGGCAAAAATGGAAAGGAAAAGTTGATAGTTTCTCGGGAAGACCTTGAGGGAATTGAGGAGGGTGGTGAGAGAAGAGAGAGAAGAACAAGGATCTTGGGAGGAGTCGGACATTTTCTAGCTTTTTTTCTCTTCAATGACAAGTGATGTTGCTACTTGCTGGTGCCGACTTTTTATGAGTTTGTTTTTTGTGAAATTACTGTAATGCCATCGTTTTTAAATTTATCAAATTCTATTTAATTTCAATCTCCACCGTTCATGAGGGGATCCATGGGTGGGGTTTGGTGGTTTAAAGTTTGGTGATTAAAATTTAGGAAAAATGAAAAATAATTTTAAATTAAGATAATCGAAATTAACTGAGTTTTTTTTTCAAGGTTGTAGCTAGGATTGCGGAGATTTTAATCTAATTTCAGAGGCTGTTTGGTGAGGAGGTACGAGGAGTTTGACGAGATGGGTTTTGAGAATATAGTCCAAAATTTCTTCAAATCCCATGATTGTTTGAAAAATTTAATCTCGAGTTTTCAAACCAGGTCCGTAGCTGACCCAAAGGTTAAAGTATGATCACAAATTTTATCAAATCTAGGGGAATGGTGAGTTTGGAAAATAGGTAAGGAGTTAATGATCTAAAAGATAATTGTATCCCTTAACATGTATATGAATTTAATTGATTAAAGGTAAAATAGTCATTTAAAAGATAAATATTTGTTAATAATTATGATATATCCGTGAGTCCTACATGTATATGTGTTGTATACCAAACATGAGTATTAATTGGATTGAATATTGAATCTCATTTTTGCAAATAAGGGTTTGAGTTTAGAAAATTTACTCCAAACTCCTTTTCAAAATTCATCCAAACAAATTCTTTGAGTCCATTCCAATTTAATTAAATCATAAATTTTAGGAAAAATTATACCTAGACCTCCTGAGATTTGACACTTAATTACTTAGACCTCCTGACATTTAAAATATTATACACAGACCCTAGAGGTTTGTACGCATGTAACACTTAAACCTCTGCTGTAAATATATCCATTAATAAATTACGCTTAGACTCGTTTAAAGTTTATAAGTATATAATACTTAGACCCCTTAAATTTAAAATGTCATAGTTAGATCAAAAATACTTCAATTAAAGATAAAATATCAAATATTTTAAATTTTATGATTAAAATTTATGTTATATTTATCTTTTATTTAAATAAAATTAAAAATAAAATTTTAATTTTTTTTAAAAGATCGTAATTAGTATACAATTATATTGTCTATTGGAATTTAACTTGGTCGTTTAAACGACCAAATTAAAATATCAAACTACCCCAATTAAAGTTAAAAGATATCGTGTCAATTACAATTTGATCATTTATTTAATTTTTTTTGTTTTATTCTAATAAATAGTATAATTATATACTAATTATAATTTTTTTAAAAAAAACTAAATTGTTATTTTTAATTTTATTTCAATAAATGATATAATAAAACATAAATTTTGGATAAAAAATTTATGTTCTATTATGAATAACTTAGACCCTTTATTTAATTTTTTAGTTTTATTCCAATAGATAATATAATTGTATATTAATTACAACTTTTTAAGAAAAAATTAAAATTTTATTTTTAATTTTATTTCAATAAATGATACAATAGAATAGGAATTTTAATTATAAAATTTAAAAAATTTGATATTCTTTCTTTAATTAGAATATTTTTAATCTAAGTATAATATTTTAAATTTAAAGGATTTAAGTATTATATATCTACAAACTTCAAAGGAGTCTAAGTATAATTTATTAATAGATATATTTATAACAGGGGTCTAAATGTTATGCGCGTATAAATTTTAAAGGATTTGTGTGTAATTTTTTAAATATCAGGAAGTCTAAATGATTATGTGACAAACCTCAGAGAGTCTGGATGTAATTCTCCCTAAATTTTATTTCCATAAATTATATCCAAATTTGTTAAACATCATGACTTCAATACAAAATACGACACAAATCCATTGACAGAGAGATGTTAGCGGTTTGCCTAGAGACCACCATTTGTATTCATAAACCTTAAGGTCACGAATTCAAATCTCGTCATCTCCCCCTTTGCAATAGTGCTGACCAAAAAGATTAAAACAATAATAATAATAATAATAATTCCATTGGCAGACATAGGTATGACAATAATCGCACTGGATTCGGCAACTTGTGTGTGGACTGAAAAAAGATTGTCTGGAAAAGGGTGGGCTCTTATTGCATTTACATTCATGGTGAAAGAATATAAATTTGACAGGTGTTATAGCCTTTAAAGGCAGGAATAAGTCGAGTGTGAGGTTCTCCATTGGAGAAAGACATCATAGGAAGCAAAGAACCACGAAAGACATCGGAAGCAGCTTCTGCAATCAATAAGATGCTTCTATGTTGAGGAAGCCACCTAAGAGGTGGAATACACAGTTTTTTTCTTTTCCTTTTTGTTAACTAGAATGTGCATGCTTCTTTATTCTAGGTTTACAAAACCCAAACCCAATACACAAATTCCCCTGTTTCATAGTATAGGAGTTAACGGACATGAACTAAAGAATGCCCCGTAGGGCATAGGTAATGTAGTTGTAGCAACACAACATAACCAACATAGGCACCAGCAGCACAATTTCTGTCTTGTAGCGACAAAGGGTACAGGGAATGATGAACCAAAAATTGGTATAGACACACTACACCATATCTATCCAACCTATGCAGGCCAACCATTGCCACAGATCTCGTCACTCAATAGAACATTACAAAATCCCTGTAATCAACTACTGCCAGAGCCAGCTGGGGAAGAAAAAAAATTTAAATTCACATGTCTTCCCCTTTTTTTTTGCCTTTAAGAAGTCTAATCTGAGTCTTGAACTCAAGCTGAGCTTACTATGATCCACAAAGAAAGATTAAGCAAAGTCAAATGTATGTCCTAGCCACTTCAATCGAAATCAAACCTTTCTGAAACCAGAAACTATCCACACACAAATCTTTCGATATAGTGCTCCCTAGTAACAAATATTCGCATTGAGAGACTGAGACATCCACTGGCACAGAACTTGATCTGCTTCTTTCCTTTATTGCACTCCTTCATTCATGGAAGTATTACAAAGCTAAATCCTTTTCTTACTACTTTTCTTTTATGTTCTGTTTAGACGAACTCAAATCTCAGGAAAGTTCATGATCCACCAACAAAGAGTTCATGTGCACGATTCTAGTACACTATTCTTGGGCAGGCCCTCTAACTGTAGCTGGGAACAAGATTTTTGTCGAAAAGAATTTCTAGTCCAGAAGCTGGAAACACTTCAGAGACATGACCAGACTGCAAAACACTAGATATTTCAAATGAGTAAGTATTTCATAAAATCCAATAATTGACAGGCCAAACCAAGCACAAAAACAGAATTCTCAAACACATGGTCCATATTGATATAGAAAGAAAGAATGCCTCATGCACTAAATTTATAGAGACTGACCATAACTGGTAAATGATCCATTCATAGCAAAAATCTCTGACTTAAAGCAGCCAAAATTGTTCTTGCAATTTCAGCTCTTTGCACTGGGTAACTAATTGTAGAATACGGTTTTCTCACCCTTGGTACACATACTTCCAAACTTTTTGGATGGGTCAAAGCCTAGTGCAACACATCCCAAATATCCTCTGCCAATTTTGCTGAAGATTCATTTGTATTTCCTTTTCGATAGTAGGACTAGCAAAAAGAATCTTTAGAGAGACAAACAACACAAGGAATAAGCTGATTCCCATAAAAATTTTACAGAGCTCCAGGAAGAAAATTAGGCCAGAGTTCTCCATGTCGAGAATGGTACAGCCTACAGAGCAACCCCATAAAAGGCAGGACTGGCCTCAAAACATATCAATTGACTTCTCAATTCGAAGCTGAAAAGTAGTACAAAATTTCAAACCGGAGGAATTGATGTCACACTGAGCAAACTAAAGAAGCAGGCTTAATGTGGCAGGTGCCAGCATTTCTTTACAAATCAAGCCGGAAGAAGAAACAAGTATGACAGAAGCTAATGTTCAATTGGTGTCAAATTCATGGGATGGACATCAAATACCAAGTCTAAGAATAAGACTTGGGCATTGAAACTCAAGAATAAGATCCTCAGTGCCTTAAAAGTTAGCACTAGTCCATGATCTATACTCAGCTCCAGAAGATTCTTTCCCAAATAGGGCCACCCTAAGCACAAACCCTATCAGATGACATTCTAATCTGGACAGTAATAATTCTTTTTTCTTTTGTGCTTCTTGCCATTGCTCCATGATCTACACACTTCAATCCACAACAACTGAAGCCAGATTCTTTCCTAGAAGGGTCATCCTAAGCTCAACTCGCTGTTGAAAGTATTCCTTCTTCTTCTTCCTCAACAAGTAACCATGGTGACAGTCTTTCGCATTATTCCTTGTTGCTCGTTTGAAGATCAATGTTAATTTACAGTTACGGAAACTGATAAGTTCGTGACATATTCGTATGTCATACCATTAAGTATTGAGTGAAATCCTTCAGTTGCATATCCAATGGTGCCCAT